GGGATGATAATATTCTATATTGTGATCATAGTTGCAGTACTATGATTGTATTCAAAACTATTGTACACTATAAATTAGTGCATTTTATGGTGTGTGAGTTATAGCTCAATAATCTTGTTTATTAAAAACAAAAATCCAGGCATGCTAATAATCTAGCTCTCCTCCTGCCTCAGCCTTCTGGGTCAAGGTTACCTTGGCCACATATCATGTCCAAGGCCAGCCTGTGCTACAAGGCAAGACTCTGTCTCCAGGAAAAAATAAATCTTTTTTTTTTCAAAGTTTTATTGATAAACAGATAGCAATGAGACAGTTTCAAATCCAATCGGAAGTACAGTTTCAACAAATAATACACTGCATATATTCTTCTTAGTGGTTAATTGCTGTACAAGATGCAGACTTGTGATCCTACTTACAAACACCATTAGAACAAATCATTCTATTCATTAAGAGAATGCAACTATATATCTATCCTAACCACTTTGAATACACAGATACAAAATGGACATTCATCGGTATACCCCATTTTTTTAAGTACCGTTATTGAATATTATAGGTGTGTAACTCAGAAAAATATTCTAAAAGAGTCCAGTAGCCCATAATAGCATTGGGTCTTCTGTTTAACTGGCAATGTCAGAAATTATTGACCTGAGTCCCCCACAGCTCAACATAACAACATGGCTTTACTTCCTATATTTCGTCTTCATACTTTTCTACTGGATGGTTAAGACCAAGGTAAAGCTGGACCTGTGCAACAAGAGTTGTAGCTTTTTGGTCTGAGAAGGTCATTGAAATGCCCTCAGGATTTATCCTGAGAAAAAAATCTTAAGAGAGAGAAAGAACAAAATCTGGGTACTAGAGCAATCTAGACATGAGAGAGGGCAAGAATACCTTCCCCCAGATATGCTCCCCACCATTGCACTCTGTGACCAGTCTCTTATGCAGTCTTTTTCTTTTCAATCCTTTTAAGAAGCAGTAGATGACTTGCCCATGGGCAAATGTTGCAGGTCTGGGAAGTCCCTGCCCCCCCGACTAGCTTCTGGACACTGAGAAAGACACCAAGTACTGCAACCAACAACTCATTTTTCTGAATCCCTTCATTAAAGGGGTAGCTGTGCCATGTGTCGACCTCACCCGAGGTATTCTTGCACCATCCTTTCTTCTTTGTCACATATGCTATCATTTTTTTTTAATGTAAACTTTTTAACATGACACAACCTGACTCGATCATATTTATTCAGTTTTTCTTTTATGGATTTTCAAATTTATGAGTGTCGTAAAACAAAAATACCTAATCCAGTCCAAGCTAACCTTGCATTTTAATCACAATGAATTCCACCCTCAGGTATATTTTGTTCTTGCTGCAATTTATTGGTTTGGTACTGTTTCAAATTGTAATGGGAAACTCTGCTGTTGGCACTGCTGATCAAGGTTACCAAAATTCAAAGAGTGAGAGATAAATACTTATTTGACAGTTGAAGACAAACAGAATTAAGACTGGGGAAAGCAAAAAGAGAAGTTAAGGTAATGGTGGTTGAACTACTGCACACAAGATAAGCCTTCACTATCTAAAGAAATCATGGAAAATAAGAACTTGGTATTTATTCTACTAGCTGAAGCTCAGCCTGACCATCAAGGTTTAGCTTGGTCCCAGAGACATCTTAGCGCCCTAGTTGTGTCCATTTCACCCCTGCTTATCTTTATTGAGTCTGAGCTATCTGAGGACCACCTTACCTAACCCAGCCCTCCCCCTCTCCCTCTTCTATTTCTTCTTTCAGTTAGGAGCTGTTCTTGTCTCCATCTTCTCAGAATTTGTCCAAACTGCGTTATGTTTTCCCTAAGTATAGCTCATCTTGTTACAACTAGAAATAATCTGATAGACTAATTTACTTGACTTCAATGGCTAGATCTCCCCAGGAGTTTGCATTCCAACAAGGGAACCTAAGATCAAAACTCCTTAACGAAGAAGGAGAAATGACATCAACACAATTTGAAGCACTGAGACTATTCATGCAGGCAGCTGCTTCAGTAAAAGTCAACGCTGGTAGTAATGTGGCTGTTTGCAAGTGATTCTTTTCCATCATCAAATTATACAGTCTCTTGTGATTATGAGTTACTTTTCTCAAGGTATTTATTGTAAGGCAATTCCCCCTCTTCTTACACAAATCATCTCTTAAGTCAACTCATGAAAACTCCGAAAGGTTAAAAATAACAACTGGAGCGGTGAAGAGACCTGAATAGAACTAGTGAGGGGTTTTCAACTAAGTCCACTTGAGGCCAAATTTCATGTTTTCTCTCCTCTGAAAGCAATAATAAATTTTACATTCTGCTTAGAAAGCTCTTGCCTTCTTGTTTGCATTTTCCAAAGCAATAAAGAATTCTGAGTGGCTGTGGGCCTGTGACCTCAGCCGGTCACGTGGCCTGGACTTGGGGGTGAGCTGGGGAGTTCCCAGGGCCAATGAGCTGATTGATGAACCACAGAGTGCAGCATTTCCACTCCTGGAGGAGACACGCAGAGACTGCAGTTTCCCGCTTCCCTTCACGTCACAGGTTTTTGCAGTGGGATGGTAGTTGGATGAAAAGACAGTAACTTGGCAAATGTTTTCAGCTATAGCTCAGAGATTAGAAAGAGAGTGATACTACCTTTAAACTTCTCTCTCACTTTTCTGGAATGTGGGTGCCTCTCAAAATAAAAGAGAAAAGCAGAGAGTCCTATCATTTAGTTTTTTCCTTTTAACAAATTATTTTATATTCTTATTTTGAAAACTGCATGGGTGATGGTGATATTTAAATGTTTTCAGTAAGCTCTTCCATAGCAATTCCATTTGCTGTCCTTGATGACAGTGACTTTACTTAAATTGGTGTTCATAAGTAGTTTATAGTTCTTTAAAAATATTTGCAATAGAGCCAGCCAGATAGCTCAGCAGACTGCAGGGACCTTGGTTTGATCCCCAGTGTGCTGTGCTGGCCCAGCCCTCGGGACATGCTGAGAGGGCAATTAAGACTGGGCGTGGTAGCGTGGGCCTGTAATCCCAGTGCTTGGGAGGCTGAAAACAGCCAATCTGTGCAGTAAGACCCTATAGACCCTGTACTAAATACATTTAAAAAAATTGTAAAAAAAAATTGACAATATTTTATCTTATCTGCAAGAGCTTGCACAATTGCTCACTATTCCTCACATTCAGTGAATGGGCTTCTCTCTCTCTCTCTCTCTCTCTCTCTCTCTCTCTCTCTCTCTCTCTCTCTCTCTCCTCCTTCTCTCTCACCCCCTCTCCCACTTTCCCTCGCCTTCTTTCTCCCCTCCCCCTCCTTCTCCCCTCCCCTGACCCTCTCCATCTGTCTGTGTCCCCTTCTACCCCTTTCCTGTTCTCTTTCTCTAACATACTTTTAGTTCAGATGCTTATTCACATCTCCTTGATAAGCACAGTTTGATTTGCAGCTAATTGTAGCAACTGATTTTCACTGTTTATGAGTGTCATTGTCAGAATCCATTTGGAAGTCCAACTAAGATAAAGCTGATTCCAGCCTCTGATATGACCACAGCAGTAAAGCAATTAATCACATCAGTTAAAGTACGTTGAGGGCTGGGGGGTGCTAATATCTTTACAACCAAATATTTACTATACTGTGCAATACATTTGACTTATTTACTAGGGGAATCAGCATGTTATTTTATCACAGATAATGTATAATACTGCCTTTAGAAGTATATAGCATAGGTTTCTCTTACCAGCAAATTAACTTTAAAATGTTTGTAGAGTTAAGACATAAAAGTAAAAACATTAAAAGGATGCCTAGTATAAATGCTCAAGATTTGGTTATTAGGTAGTTGCATTTAAATCTTCCTTTGATGCTACTGTTCTTTATATGTATTTTGATGTTATTTGGT